GTGGAGCGGAGAGAGCACACTGTGTTTTCTCAGTGAACCCAAGACATTTCTTCCTGCTAATGCAGGGATTATAAATTCCAAAGTTTTACTGTAGTTATCTGTTGAGGAACTTGGGACTTGCAGCTCCATAAGGCACACTCACTTCCACAGCTCCTAGGTGTCCAAGAATAAATCAATGCATGACTTAATGATGACTGCTGCAGTATTTACACCTATCACATATTTTGACCTTCCTCAGCAAAATGTAATGCCTATTTATAGAAGGGGATGACATGTGGCAGCCAGGGCTGGGACATGGAGAAGCCATGGAGAGGTTCCAGAATCTTGAGAATATTCTTGAGAATACACTTGGATGTGGTCTACTGGAAGGTGTCCCTGCCCGTGGCAGGGGGGATGGAACTAGGTGATCTTTAAGGTCCCTTTCAACCTAAACCATTCTATGATTTCTTTGAGGGTCGTCTTATTTATAATGGCTATACTTCCAGAGCTCTCAAAAAAGGTCTACCTCTTGTAGAGTAAAAAGAATACACTAGAAATTGAGTTATTCCCCAACTGTGGAGTTTTCCAAGTGAGTGTTCCTTTTCTATATATGTCCGAGAGCTATAACAATATTTTTGTATCATTCCCAGGGCTGTGGAAATGGCATCACAACCCCAGTAATGCCATTATGTAGCATGTGAAAATAGCCCCTTCTGAGGTGATAACTGCAAGGATACAAAATGATGATATTGTTTGCATCAAAGATGGAGAAAAAGAAAAACTTATCTGGAGTGTCTTGTGTCATACTCATCCCCTTTGTCTTTTCTCATTCAATATTAAATAACATTTAATGTTCAAACCCATTCGTGTCAAGAAGCAATTACAAAAGTACCGGTACATGAACATAACGGGCCCTAAATTTAGCTGTTTACAGATGTATTGCTGCTTGTAAGGCAGAGTTCTTACACCCTCCGGCTGCAGTGCTGTCTCTTCATACCCCAGTTCATCGCAGACTGTGACTTCATGCCACAAGCAAATAACCTGGATCTCTTAAAAAAAAAAAAAAAAAAAAAAAAAAAAAAAGAAAGAAAAGGAGCCCAAAGCCATGAATCCTTAATTCAGCTACAACTCCTTTGTCAATCTTTGACAAGTTGTTTAATCTCCCTGCTACTGTTTTTGCAATCTGCAAAATGGCAATTAGAAATATATCCTCACCTCTTTTTACAGTTTTTTGGAGGTTGCTGGGTCAAGCCCTGCAGTTCTGGCTCTGACATTGATGAGGAACCTCTCCTAGTCGTATCTATGGGTGTTTTAATGAAAGAGCAATGAGATTTCTGACCTTGTTTAATGTTTGTGAAGCACTACTGAAAGGTGCTTGGTAAGTACTAATTATTACAAGCACTGTGAAATGTGCCTCATTTATATGAGGCAATTTAAGCGTAAAGGTGCTTGGAGATACAGTAATTAAGTTTTGTTTTCACATGGCTTAACCTTGTGACAATTGCCTCCTAGATGATCTAGACCTTTTCCTTTTCTTGGCCCCATCTTCATCAACGCATTTGTGTTAGGGGGTGGCCGCTACATTCAAGCTTTGGTTGATTTATAGGCAAAGTCCACAGTGACTAACAAGCCACTCGGTGTGCTGAGTAACTGGATTAAATGGTCAACTCTAAATGAAGTATTGGGCATATTGAAAAAAATTATGTTTTGTAGCTTAATTTTCACAGGATTGCTTTATCCTGTTCACCTAATCTTTTTATTTTCCATGAAGTACTTTTTCCATTAAGTCTCCATGAGATCCCCATTGCCTGTCTTTGCGTTCAAGCATTCATCAAAAACCCAGTGATGTTGTCAATGTGCATGATGTAATAGGCAATTATCCCGTGACTTGCTCTGTTACTGTAAGAATAATACCATGCATTTCATTTAATTTCATAGCATGGATTTTTTTAAGTGAAAATTCTACTCCATTTGAATTTCATATGTGTGGTCATTGAGTTAAATGTGAATAAGTTCAGGTTTTTATCGAAAAGCTCTCTAATCTACTGAGTGACACAATGCTTAATAAGAACATCTTTATGTAAATTTGCTTTAATTTTGGCTGTTTCCCATGTGTATTATTTTGTATTGTTTGGAATTTCATTTTAATAACAATCACTGTGATGAATTCAATTTCTTCTTTCTCCCCAGCCAAATGCAATAATAATGACTAAAACTAGTTGATGCCTCATCCTGTTAGATATCTGGATGGAAGAATAAGGGTAAACATCTACCAAAATGGCATAATTTGTGGTAAAGATTATAGTTTTTTAAAAGTAGCAATTACCGATTCACTCATGCACATTAATGTGTTTGACATATTTTCTCACACTTACCTTTACAATATGGCCTTTGTAGTCAGGCGTATGCTTCCTAACACATGCAGTATAGGATTTTGAAGCTTTTGTAATTTTTAATTTGGCTATATATGGTCTTACAGTTCTGGCATAATGCACTTTATAAAAGGAAAGAAAATTAAGCATTTCCATAGTAATGTGCAAATTACACTTATACCTTATGCAGATTTTTTCAGATTAATTTTGGATCCACACCTGTTTATCTTGTCCTGAAAGACATTAAAAACAATTTAAAGTAACAGTACTTGGTCTCTATTTATCTCATATTTTGGGTTTTTTTTAAACGCAGCACACTTCATACAAAAGCCAGCTTCAATATTTTATGTATTTTAAAAAATAACTAGCAGCATTACTGCATGAATGGGGATTTTCTTTCAATCTACAGATTCTCCATGTTTGGCTGTTTTTATGTGTTCTATAAACTTTGTCACACTTTGTCCCATTTACAAACTGAGCAGGGATCACCTTTGCCATAGGGACTCATGGCAAAGTCTTTAGTGTGCTCACCTGAGTGGACAATGGTTTTATGAAGAAAAAATGCATTTTTCTAATTGATGCAAAAATGTTCCTGCCATACCAGCTGGCGCGGGACTACTGATGTGAACTCTGCATAGCTATTTATCAACAGCACTGTGCTCGAAAGGAAAGGTAGACACTGATTCAGATAACATAGTTATCACCTCCAAAATGTGGGAGGGCTTCAGACCAGTACTGTTAGGGTTTTCAGAAGCCTTTATAGAAATCACGCTTTTTCTCATCCATTTTAGAAGTCTGGAGCAGCGAGGGAATCACCTGTCCAATAAATGACAGCAGGTTAGTACACAGTTCCAGGCAATGTCTGAGAGCTGTATGACTACTGCTCTGCTAATTATCTTATGTTCCTTCATTTCCTTTGTGTTTGTTATATATAAATTCACGTACAATGGTCTTTGTGAGCCGACACATTTGGAGCAGTTTCATCTAATTCCATGTGACGCTGGCAATGCCCAAAACCAGAGACCAACCCAAAACTAAGGGAGTCTTTCTTTGCTGAAATTACCCACTGGGAAAACAGTCTGTTTTTTTACTGGTCCATCTGTTGTCTGTCAGCTGGAGAGCTGACTCTTAAGACTATCTTGTTTCTTCCCTCACAGCCCAGTAAAAATGGGAACAAGGTGACCATTTTGCCAGTGGAGAGCTGCAATTAACAGATGACTTTCCTGCCCCTGCTCTCTTCTAGTAATACTTTACGTGGGGTTGAGCTCTTGCCCACTCCTTATTCCTTGTGGAAGTGGCCCAGCTTCCTTTCCAGTAACGTTTCCTGTCCATCAGAGAACTGGTTTCATGTGCTGGATGTCTGCAAAAAGGATGAGATGACACCACCCTTTTCACTGGGCATCAGGCAAAAAAGAAAATCCAGCTCCAACTATCTTATCTTTAGAAGTCGTCCCTGGTTGTGGCATAGGCACTGTATCGAGGGAGTAGCCTGTGGATTTGTTGGCTACTAATTTAAGTTGAGTTTGTTAGTGCTGGTTTCATGCCTTGATTAGATCTGTGTTGCCAATGAAAAAGAGGGTGCCTGAGGTGTGGAGCCTGCTTGAGTGTCACAGTACTGCATGGGATTGATGGCGTGGTGCTGTACAGCCTGCTTCGGGGAGGTATGAAATGGGTTCATTCCTTCACAAGTCACAAGTCCATCACAAAGGAGCTTTGGTAAGGAGCACCTTCTGCTCTCGATTGGTGCTGGCTGAACCCTTGCATGTTGCTCAAATTTAAGGGGAAAAAATTATCCATGTAGATGTCAGCCAACGAGTGAGGCATTCAAGAGATCAAATCTAAATGAGGATTTCAAGATTTTGCCTTTTAATCATATACTTACAGGAAACTAGTTGTTCTAAAATAACTTCATGTGTTACTAATATCTGTACATTTCTGGAGTAGAGACTGTGCATTAACTATTTGCCCATCGGCCTGAGTCTGTTTGTAAGAAAAAAAAAAA